TTTTGCAGATTTACACAGAGTTGACACTCTGGAATAAATCCCAGGACCCCAGAACTAAGTGGCACATGTCCATTCAATCCTTTTTTAAGCCTTTTTTTCCCCTATCAGGATAATTCCAGGAATAAGCGGTAGGACATTTTGAGTAATGGAAGTAAAGTTAAAATGAAAGACTTCTCTCAAAAACTGTGTGAAGCTCCACTTTACTTCAGCAATTTAACTGTCACACCTTTCTCATACATGTGCTAAAACTGTTTTGTATTAACCTAACTCCCCAGTTATTCCGTTTTTAAAGAAATGTTGGAATACCCTGTTCTGAAAATTCTGTGCACAACAGATGGTTCATGCTTCAGGTCACTGCAGGGAGACCTGAAAATGAGGATTCTCTTTATAATGCATCAATTAACACATCTTTTCCTGTATCTGGCACACACAATTTGGCTTTAAATACTATGTTTGAAGGAAAAGCATTTATACATCATCAGTTTTACACAAGCCTAAATTAATATTCCCAAAACAACAGTTTAAAGCAGCACTTAAAATTTTTCCGGGAAGTCTGCTGTAGTAACAAACGAGAGAAAGTGGTTTTAAGATAAAGTTTTCCTGGGTGTGGTATAAGCATAAGGATTGTAAATAAAAACAAGTCTTGGGTACTTTCTCTCTACCATTGGAGGTATTAATCAAAACCAGAAAGGATCTTCTACAGTTAACAATGGGAGAATAAATAATTTCACAGAACTACTAGCCTTGAGTTTAAGTGCTGTATGTTTTCAAGTGACTTTTTTTCTTACATGTGCAGTATTTGAAGCTAAAACGCCTAATTCATTATGAGTTCCATTCTCCTTTTCTGTAGGATTTAAATGATTATGGAGAACAGGTAAATGTGAAAAATAGTTCAGTGTAGAGTCAGAACGATAACAGAGTACACAAGGGGTTCAGATCCCAGAATGCTTTGTCTTACAGGGTGCGTGCTGAAGTGGAAGAAGCAAAGCAGAAATCTAAGGAGGAGGATGATGTAAGTTTGACACGACAGAAATGTATCCTCTTTTCCAAGAAAGGTTTTTCACATTTATGTGGTTTAGGATTTAATGGACATGCATATCTCTTAACAGACAGAAAACAATCCATGAATCACAAAGTGATTTTGTTCAATCTATAGAATTTTCACTATGTTTTCAGGTGTCATTGCAGTGCTGTATGAGTCAGGCAGCCTTTGAACAGTTTTGTTTTTGGCAAAATGATGGATAGTCTTTTGGTGTGAAAATCTTTAATTAAAGACGGCTAATTTCAAAACCTCTTATACAGATATGTAGTGTACTATGACTTTACTGGGATTTGAAAGAAGTATTTAGAATTCTGGAAGGGACTGACAATGGTAAATCCAGATATGCCTTCAAGGTCAAAGAAACTAGGTCAAGATAGCAGGCAGATTAAGGATCAGATATGTGATGGGCCTCTCAGCTAAGAGTTGTGGGCTATCGTTGCCATGGCAGCAGTTTCACTGGTAACACTCAAGCAGATTGACAGGGCCTTTAGATGGTATCTTTCAAGCAACCCAAGGAACAAGAGGCTGAGCTGGCTTCTGTAACCCTCAAACTTGCCTGTGGTCTTGTGGTTTTATGACCAAGATTTAATATTTTTGTTCCTGCCAGAGCGATGTCCCCACAGCCCAGAGGAAGCGGTTCACACGTGTCGAGATGGCCCGGGTTCTGATGGAGAGGAACCAGTACAAAGAGAGGCTCATGGAGCTCCAGGAGGCCGTGCGGTGGACTGAGATGATCCGGTGAGAAAAAACACACACTGTCTTCTTAGAACATCGTTTAGTAGTGTCTCTTAGAGTCATCTTTAGAAAAAAAACTTAATAATGTGTCAGCAGCCTTAGCAGCTACAAGATGAGTATTTTTTCACATTCTGAAACTGGGTCAGTCTTGGTCCCACTGACTCCTGTAGCTGACTAAAAGATGAGATGGAATTAAAATGCTCTGTCACCTGATGCAGTCAAAGGCCTCGAGACCAGACCCTCATAATTTTGTCCCAGCAGTTACGTTTCCCAGAGCAGATCTTGTACAGAACTGCATGTTACATCCGTCCGCATTTGTTGATGCAGGGTAGTGGCGTCTATTGGGATTTGAGTTTTCAATACTTTACATAACCTTTGGGACACTATAAACCATCCTTCACTTTAAGTTCAAACTTGCAGTTCATTCACATTTCAAGGTAAGCAATCAATTGGGATTCATCTGGTGGACCCGGAATAGGGCAGTTGCTACAACAGCAGTAAACAGAAGGAAAACAAATTACTGCTAGGCTGTTTTTATCAGTGCAACAGAAATCAATATAACATAATTAAGACAGTTCTGGACTTGTTTTACCTTTTCTATTCCACAGGTCTTTGGTTCATGATGCAAATGATGTCTGAAACAAGTCAAATTTTGGTTTTAATATACTCCTAGCTACATTTGCTAGACAAACAAGACTATCTTTTCCACCAGCAAAATGAGATTAATGTGCTCATCAGTATCTTATTCCACTGTTTCTTTTCAACCGCCCCAGAGCTTCAAGAGAGAGCCCAGCTTATTCTGAAAAGAAGAAATCCAGTATCTGGCAATTGTAAGCATTTTAACATTGTTCCTTAAAACATACTTTTAAAATTCCCATACAGTTCATTTTTTGTAATGAATATTCAAACTGCCTTTCCTTTGTTTTGTCTTTTGTGTTTTTTGGTTGGTTTTGTTCTCCAGGATGTAGGTAAATCTTATTCATCAAATTCCTATCTTTGTGTGATCACGTTCCCTAATAACCCAACTCAAGGAATACCAGCTTTGGGGCCGCTGTCTGTCTCAATGACTTCATTGCTGATCTGTCCTTCCCAGACAGCTCAGATGAATTTCTGGAGTCCAGCTAGAAGTCAGTGCCAAAATACAACCACTGCCCACACTGATCCATTCTTTAGGATAAAGAGCATAACAGGGAATTGTGTAGGCCCACACTATTAACACATATTATTTCGTGGGAGTGTTTTTGAGTACTCTCTGGAAAAGTCCACTGCAGAATGATTGAGAATTACAACAGCACAACTATATAAACATAAGATTTTGTAGTTTTATGAAGACCCTGTCCCCCTTCATAAAGTATGTTTTGTTTGTGTGTGTATAAGACTCTGAAGTACTTAATTTAAAAAAAGTGTTCTTAAATTGTTTGCAGTTTAAGAAATGTGATGGTTCAGGGATTGACAGGCATCCATTTAAGTGAGAGGACGTTTGTAGCCTTGTTTAAAAAATATGCAGCCCCTTCCAATGGTATCCCTTCCTGGAATTTTATTTTTAATGTTTGGGTATGGATTTGG